TTTCATGTCAGTTGCATGCGTGGGGTTAATAGGAACATTATTAATAGGGGCAGTATTAACATTAATAGGGACAGAATTAACAGGAATATGATTATTGAGAATTAGGTAACATTAATGCTAAGCCATACTTGAATTTTACCAATCAAATTATTAAAAACGGGCTAACTTTATAATTTTTATGGCAATAGATCTTCTACCATATTTATCCATTTAAAGTTGGGCGCCAATTTCTAGAATTACACGCATGAAGATCTAATTTAAGGGGGGGATTCTGTTTGGCGTTAGCGTTAGGTGCAACTCCAGATCTTCACTTTAGACGCAACATCAATCGAGATTCACTTACGTACTGTGACTAGGGATGGGTTCGGTCACAAACAGTCACGATTATTCATAGTCAATTTTCTAAATATTGTGATGATTTTTTATTTTTGAGCTTTTAATTAAAGTTGTCCAGAATTAAATTCTGTTCATACCATCTTTTAAGTGGAAGAACGATACCTTCTCTGGAAATAAGAATTTCAAAATTTTTCAACGTATTAGTATGACCGGTCAATGACCGGTTATAGCGTTAATATTAACAAATTTTGAAATTCTGGGTTCCAGAGAAGATATCGTTCTTTCCACTTATAAGATGGGATGAACAGAATTTAATTCTGAACAACTTTAATTAAAAGCTTAAAAATAAAAAATTGTCACAGTATTCAGAAAATTGACTATGAGTAATTGTGAACGTTTGTGACCGAACCCATCCTTAACTGTGACAATTAATGTATCATTAATTAACATAACAATAATCCGCACTCAAACACAGGTAATAAATATATAATTAGAGATGATAATTTCATAATATGTATTAAAAGCGTAAATATAATTTACAGATCACCAAAATCCATTTATCTTGTAAAAAGTACCAAGTATAGATAATTCATAACGGTTCTTAAGAGCAGTTGTAGAAATTGGACAATTGACCAAGAGACCTGAATAAATTGGTGTAATATGTGATACTTGGTCTAGAGATGTTATTTTTTTCACCGGTACATTAATGACCGTGATATTAAAAACGGCCCACATAGCACTATAGTCTTTAAAACCCGGAATTGTGCTAGGCAAGGTGGACAATATATTGTAATTTTTGTCAATCACATGATAAATGGGTACAGTTTTATTGCCGGCTGGATTAATACCAAAGTCAAAATAACGAATTGGTCCACCATTGTAATAGCCAAGCTTTGATGGTGCATCCTCAGGATAAGTCAAATCGGATGAAAATCCAACTTTAAAAAAAAAATTAATTAAAAAAGTTCCTATAACATGAAATACTAATGTTACATTTAACGTACCAATAGGATTATTGAGATAGGTATCAGTATAATAAATTTCTACTTTTTTGCCAAGTCTTTTCAAGCCTTCATAAGACGTAATATGAGGGTCATTCTCCTTACGTCCAGTTACTATGACTGCTTGTTTTAAATCCGAGTATCCTTTGTCACCAGGAATAAATTCAATAATATTTGGTTGCATAACATTAGAAATATCATCATGAAGATCTTTAAGAAAGATGTAAATCGGGTTATAGGGAAAAGTCGTAGGTGCAAGTGGTTCATTTGTATGAATTTCTTCAAAAGAATATATTTCGACTGGGTAATCATAAAAATATCCCACTCCTAAATCATAAGTTATGTTTATTAAATCATAAGGATTGCCAGCGATCACACGGTCGCTTAAAGCAAACATAACAAATACAATAAAGAAAATTGCTTTAAAATTTCTTTGATTCATTTTGACTATTTAGAATTAACTATCATTGTAAAGATTAAGCGTTCATTTAAATATTTGTGAAGATTGTGTTCTTGTAATAAAATAGGTAAAAAACAACGTTTCTATGGTTAAAACCAAAATAGTAATATACCTACGTATATACGTATATAACAGATAGGTTAAATTTCTTGACCTTTCGTTACACGGGTGCATCGAATTTTGATATGTATGTAACGAATGACAGAATTTAATTTAAACATCTTAACGTTAAGGTTTACTTTATAATATTTCGAATTAAATATTGTCGTGTATTATAAATCTTCTAGACTTTGGAACTGAATCTAGCAAAAGTTGGGCTTGACAGTAATCATGGGATCAAATTGTTGTTTTGACAAATGAAAGACTTTCTCCATTTCAACAATTAGATTGAGTTAGGTATTTGGTGATATCTTATGTGGGAAGTATGATATTGAAGGAATTCAAGACTTAGATTTTTATGTAAAATAATGAGACATGTCTGCATGCGGGATAAAAAATGCTCGGATACGTATCACTTCACCAACACTCATTTCGTAGACATAACCATAACATTTCACCGACAAAAATTCACCGACATGTTTATTTCACCGACAATTATTTCGCCGACAAGTTTATTTCACCGACAATTTATTTCACCGAAGCTCATTTAAAAGACAAATTTTTTTTATAAATTCCACTAACTTTAATTCTAGCCTGACCCTAACGACAATGACCAGAATTATTTTGTCGGTGAAATGAGTTTCGGCGAATTAACCTGTCGGTGAAATGGAAAATGGATGTCGGTGAAGTAATATGTCGGTGAATTGTTGTCGGTGAAATGTTATTTCTACGAAATAAGCGTCGGTGAAATGAGCTGAACCGAAAATGCTTTTTAGACTGCTTAAAGTCAATTAGTTTATTAATTTCAATATTTTGAATTTAGTCAAGGAGAAAGAAAAGAACTTAATAAAACACATATAAAATATTACCGTAAATGGCCGTATACAAGATCCGGGTCTGATACGTTCTATTAATTTTAAAACCTTTAATAGGCTCTGGTATATATAGTATAGTCAACTCGCATGCTAAAAATCAGACATTATATGCGTCTATTGCGAGATTGTGACTAAAGTAAGCAAGAATTCATATATAGCTCATGTAATTAAATAAACTTAAGTAACTATAGCAAGATTGTAGTCAGACTTGAGTTTGCTGTTACTATATTCATATCTGCAGGTAAATTAGTATTTAAGGGCATTATCTTTGGTAAATATTGTTAGAATTTGAGAATCTGATTGATCTAAAAAGAAATCTAGCTGATTACTATGAGGTAGGATTATATTTAAGGTGCTTTTAGGCATCTCTCGTGGGAGATGCATTTCTCATATCCATTAGCTAATAGTAAGCCACAATTTAGTATAATATACCATGATTAGAAACTTTCAAAACAAATGCTAGTTTGAAGAAAAACAATCTATTTCTCAAAAAAACATATAAAAAACCTCTTTTCATGCACTAATAAAAGGTTTCTTTGGGTTAATTTACATATATTTCTTTTATCTCTAACCCTAATCTAAGCGCTATTCTAACATAAATAGACTTTAAAGAATTTTGAAAGATATGCTATACTTCTACTAGTTGTATAACTTAGTTGGTGGCTATATATTCCTCAAGCATTATACTACAGCTAGGGTTGCTAATGGAGTACTCCAAGCTATAATAAAATATATAAACTACTCTAGTTTTAAACTGGAGTGGTTATATGTTTTATTATTGCTTGGAGTACTCCATTAACAACCCTAACTACAGCTAAGCTTTTCAAATTTGAAAGTTGTAAACAATATTAATTCTTTACAAAGATATTCCAAATTCCTATATCTGTTTGTCAAAAAACAAAGAAAAGGTAGTGTGTAAAAAATTATATTATTTTGTAAGATATCAACTAGATAATGTTTTTCATAGTATTTATCTTGTTCTTTTATCTCTATGCTTATACTTTTGTATACTTGCTATTTCTAAAGGCTTTTTTAATTTAAATACCAAACACAAAGAGGAGTCTATTTCAAAAAGATCAGAACAAGACTTGACCTATATACAAACTATTTAAATACTTACACCTTAGTATATTATGTTTAAAGACTTCATTAACAATATTTTATAAGCAAAAATTGCAAAGATGTTGTGACTTAGTGAAGTGGTTAAGTTGTTGCATCCCAAACAATACCTTGGCTAGATAGGGGTTCGAAATCTACTGATAACAAATTTCAAATATTCTATCTATATGATAGCTACTGTCTTTCAATAATCAGTTGGAATAGAATCTCTGTAATATTAGTAGCACCAATGAGATTGGGAAATTATGAGACATTTGTGTGATGTATGAGCTACACAAATAAGTTTTTGAATCATATTAATTCAAGAAACTAAAAAGATAAATATCTGTTCAACAAGACCTGAGTAAAGAAAAAGCACAGATCTTTGACAGTACTATATAAAAGATTATTATCAGAGAAACCAGCAAAATTAAATAAGATTATCACTAATCAAACTGCTAGAAGAGTAATCAAAAGAAAAAGACTCAACTATTAGGACCAGAAGCAGGTTACAGCCCTTCTGGGTCATCTGAATTAATAGTTTGAAATAGTTAGGAGTACTGCTAATAGTTTATAAAATGTGTACTAGGGTTTAGGTAAACTCTACAAAGGCAGAAGTAGATAACAGTAGGGCTTTAACTCACAAATACTTGTCTTCAGACTTGGCATAAGTTACTGAAGTTTAGGTTAGCTAGATTGTGAATATAGAAAACTTTAACAACAATACTTTGAAGATAAATTAGTTCTAAAAATATAGAAAAAGTATCTAATACTTCTTGACTAACAATTGTAATGAAGATGTCTTGATAATACAAGTAAAGTTGTATTATTGAGGGTTTAAATAGATAACACCCATAGTTGGGTTACAAGTATAGCATTTAGTATAGAATTTATATAGGCAAACTACTTAAATTAGATACCAAAAATATACATGTAGCTAGTATGTACTCTCTAATATAGAGGTTTCTTGATAAA